AGGCGAAACTTGACCCGATGGCGACCAGGGCACGATGGAGATTGGGTGCCCTGGTCGCCAATTCCATAGTGAGATTTTAGATGTGTTCGTTTTTTATGCTTTTAACAACGAAGGATATAATATCAGTGGTGGATCCAGGTATTTGAAATCAAGGGGCCAAGGAGGAACTTTCACAGTTGGAGAGTCTACTCTATACCACCTCAGCCCCATGTTTGGGGCTGAGGTAAGACAATTTATGATTATAGCACCTCAAAATGGGCGGAAATGGCACTCAAGTCCTTTTTGGTCAGGGTGCTAGATCGAGGAATCTATGTGTAGGGCTCATAAATTAATAAACAAACAAAAAATAAATAAATATAACATGAAATTAATCTTAATTCTATCCAATTCTATGTTCAAAATTATAGAAAAATAATTAACATTTATGAGACCATTATGCAACACCATCAACGCATGTTTAATATCAATTATACATTATCATCGAGTTACCATTAAAGTGGGTAGTAATTCTCATTAATATTGTTTAAAACATCAATCAATATTAATTAAGATTCATCAAAACAGAAGCATTACGATCGCCGATTAGACACACAGCATGCAGTTATAGAAAATTTTAAAACGGATCAATAATATGCTCAGAATACAACCACCACAATGCTATAGTCACTATCTTTAAATACAATGTCTTAATCGTTTTTATTATCATGTACATAAACTCACATGGCACAGTATAAACACAGTATAAAGAAATAGATAAATATTAATAACAATGCTTGAATAGGTTCTTCTATTAATTGTATCAAGTGAGCTGGATTTCAATATTTTTTTCTGGTACTGGTAGTAGGGTACCAGTATAGGCATTTATAATGTGCATCTTCCTTGTGGTTATAAAGTGCATACTTTTTCCCTTGGTCACTGGGTCCACATGCTTTAAGTTTTGCTGCTGGTAATCAGCGTAGGAGCAGACAACCCCACCAGGTACCCATTTATACTCCAGGGTGGAGAGAAGCAATGCAGATAAAGCGCCTTGCTCAAGGATACAAGCGAAATGCACAGCGAGGGATTGAAACCCCGACCTCGAGGTTGGGAAACCAAACTGCTCCAGCTGCGCCAAACTGGCTCTGACATACTTACTATGATCCTTAGATATGACCTACTAGAAAATTTGTAGCTTAATCATATAGTTCCAATAATGTGTGAGCATAAATAAGTTGGGTGATAGCAACGGGTTGCATTCAATTCCCTTAGAGACACTCTTTTCATAGAACTTTTCTTTGAGGGGTTATGCTTAATACAATTAATAATATATATTGTGGCTTTATTATATTTTCGCTTAACCAGTAGCAATTAGATGTGTTGCATAATAATTGGATGTAACATTCAAGAAATGCTGAATTGAAAAAAGGATATGATCTGATATATAGACTACATTAGGTCAACATCAATTTGCTTGCATTCCTTCAATTCATCATTAGACACACAGGAGAGTAAAGAATTGCAAGTGGTCATCCCAAAATAGATTTTTTCTTTTTACAAATTCATCCCTTAATGACATCACGCATTTGATGGAAACTGATACAAAAGTATTATTTCTTTTTCTTCAATTGAATAATATATTTCACAAATGTCTTAGTTTTACTCTTCAGGCAAAATTTGTATCTGAAGCTTGCTCTGTTTAGTCAGCGAAAAGGAAATTAAGCAGGAAAAAAATGTACTGGTAAGCCAGCGATATGAAATAATATACTGATGAACAACACAAATTACCACAGTATATGATGATACTGGACTCCCAGCCATTGAGTTATACGGATACCATTGTACATACTCAAACAGACTGCTTAAATTATTTACATGCGAACATTTAATGCTTCAATGCACTCGGTAGCTGAAGGGCAAAATATTCAGCAACAGTATATAACATTACACCGCAAATGTGAATGTCGTGTTGATCTTCGATTTATCGTACAAAATATGGAAGTTTTGAATAAAATTCAGGCTACAATATATAATAGAAATTAATTTTAAAACTTTTGGTGCTCTACCAAAGAATGGTGCTCTACCATGACTTGTTAAATAGCATAGACACCTTCAATTGGCTAGTCAACGGCTTAACACTATAGCCATTGGCTCTCATTGAATTGAGTCAAATGCATAGGGCTTGGCCCCATTATAATCAGTTAGTATTTTTTTTTACCCCTACGGACGGTGCAAACAGCCTTTTTTTTATAGATCCAATGGAACTCAAAGGCCCTAATTATTCAGGCAATAGAAATGACTATATTGGAAAATCCATTGACTTTTGAGCATAAAATGAGTATTTAAAGAGAATTAATTTGAAACACTTGCAGTTCGTAATTTAGTATCGAACGTTTCAAATGAGGTACATAATAGTTTTAGCTTTTCATTATAGGAAATCAATCAGGAAGGATTAACGCTTTGTATCAATTTTACCTTTGGACTTTTTTTTATATTTTTTTTATTAGGCTCTATAAAAAAATTTATCACCCTATCTAGGCTGGAAAAATGATGAGGGAGGAAGGCTTTTTATTTCTATTTTTTATTTTGCTAAGGTCAAATATCACCCTTGGGTTAATGTTGCTGGTGCATTGATATTTAAAGTCAACTAAAATGACATATTCTAGTTACTTTTAAAGAATATAACAATAAAGAATTATATAATAAACATATCGGTGGCTTTCCTTTTATTTTTAGATAACACGTTTTTCTGAAAAACGAGTTTCAAATAACCTATTTTAATGAAATCTGTATCGCTAAGTTCCGCCTTCTGAATCTGACCCGCATTTGACCTTTACCGGATATGACATACACTCAGTACAACATAACACAGGTTGTTCGCGGGATCACGACTCTTGGCAACACAAACATATTAGATAGGATTCAGAGGTTTACGATATTCTCAGTTAAAGCCTAGGTTAATCATACGCTGGAAATTCGGAGAGTAATTATTAAATAAACATTCAAAACAGCAGCCCTCGAAATTAACGTCGGCATCACGCTATGACCACAACGTAAGAGCGAGAATGCGAGTAGGCCTAGGCTCTAGCTAGGCCCTATTCTCTGCATCCACCCCATACCACAGATTCCGTACTCGCTACATACAGCAAATGTGTTTGAATAAAACATTAAAACTATTTGTTTTGACTTACTTTATTCATGATGATTAAATATCTTACACAAAATACATGCATATTACTGTATAATGCTATTATGACAGACGAGGTTGTTTACTTTTTGCTAGAAAAATACGTTGTAGTAAAATGGATCGCATGCTCTCTACAACATCGTCTTTCTCGATGTTCTTCGCTCGATCGGGGCCGCTCGACACAAATTTGTTTTGACTTAATATTAGTGATGATTAGGGGTTTAATTACAGTATCTTACAAAAAAATATACATGCATATTTTATGCTATATTATGACGGACAAGGTTGTTTACTTCTTGCTTCAAAGCATACTTCATTCGCAGGGCGAATCACTTGGTCTCTATAACGTGGTCTTTCTTCAGTGTTCTTCGCCAATGAAATACATACTACTGTACCAAGTTAAATTACTTTTATTAATAAAACAGTAAAATTATACATAAACACAAAAGTCAATCCTGCTTCGTGGCCGGCTTCGTGGTTTAATTTTGAGTCGTAACTGTTTACGAGAGGAAGGTGCGAACCAATTCGGGGATGCCCCATGTGCTTTTAGTTGCCGTCCGATTCGATTGTGTGTTCTTCAGTAATGGCTTTTAAAAGAATGGAAATTCCTGTTTTTACAAATACACTTACAATTTTGGAAAGATTTTATTTTCGTAAACCACAAAGTTATGGGTACAATCATATACTGTCTGAAACCTGCTGAAACTCAAAATACAAAAACTGCTGAGGAATGTCAAATTTACGTCGGCAATTTTTGCCATGGTTCTTTCGTACCAATTTTGAGGCCTGTATTATTAGTGAGTATCACACAGTTTGTATATCAACATAATAACAACCAAAATAATAAATTTAGCTTTTTATTGTAATCGATAACATGAAAAACAACCAGGCAATTTACAATGTGATGTGATGATGATCGCCGAATTGGCTTTGCTTACTATCATCATCGAAGGCATAGGCCGTGCACAATACATCAAATTTCAGCTTTGTACGTTACATTGTAATGTAAACATTTGACAAAATAAGCTTTAATATAACAGACTGTAAGCTAATTTAGACGTAAACAATGTATATTATTACTAATGATGTTAACCATCGTACGCTGACAAGTGTTCGTGCTGTTACTCTGCTTAGGCCTACTCCGTCGGGCCTAGACTAGGACAGTATTTAGTATAGTGCTCAAAATTTATTAGTGTTGCCCAATCCATTTTTTTTTCTAACAAAGTCTGGTCTTCAATTCTTTCTTCTTCAAATTCACTTTCTAGTGGCTCAAATTGATAAAGCTGCTCCATTTCTTTGCTTCCTTCTTTAGATTAGTACTTCCCAACTGAACCTCTTTCATATGTCGCGCTATACGATGTTTGTATTACATAAACAGGATGGCTGTGATTGTTATATAGAGTCTACGTCATCGGCTCTACTCATACTTCTGTAAACATCTCAAGTGGGCGGGGCTTATACTAATATTTTAAACCGTCAGTTTTAATATTTATAAACCAAAAATTAAATATTTTATTACCACTCATTTGTTAAACATATGTAATACTTCAATAATTAGCAACTTAAAAAGCATCATTTTAATTGGACTTTAAAGTAAAACATGATTGAGATAATACAAATAATATCTACTAAATATATACTTAAAAAAAATTTTTTTTTAATAAAAATTCAAATTTGTTTTTTTTTTCACTACCATAGTAAATAAGGTGATAAACTAATATAATTTTTTATTGGGCCTTTTTCTATTCTACTATTAAGTTCATCAACACTTTCTTTATGCAATATATTTATATTACATATCATTCATTGTAGTTAGAAATATTTAATGGTTATCTGGTCTAGCATAACCTTTAAAACATTTGATTCAATTCTTTGTAGCCAATTCATGTCATGCAGAATTTCATGAACCGACTACGCCTAGGATTGACACGAAAACCGAGACCGTGATCTAACTACAGATGTTATTGCGATCAACATACAGTATAGTAAGTCAACGTTCTTTCGGATGAGAGGCTTGCTAATCTCATCATTTTTCGGACTTAGCTTGCAAGTTGACGTGCTTGTTTTCAAGCAGATGATCCATTCAAATGGTCAGGGTCAATCTGATAATATTTGCTACTTCGATAAGTACGAAATAATCACGACTAACTTACACCATTAGAGCATGATCACTAACAAGAAGATTAAAAACAATATTAAAAACAATATTATGTTGAATCAATATAACCGTAAGAGTTTTTTTTTTGTATCATTTTGTTCTACTATTGAGTTCGTCAACACTTTCTCTATGCAATATATATTTATATTACCGTACATACAGTATATTACTCATTGGCATATTTAATGGTTATCTGGACTAACTTTTAAAACTTTCACTTCTTTGCAGCCAATTCTTGTTATGCAGAATGATTTCAACTCTGTTGTGGATTTTAGATGCTCAGGTAAGCACACAAAAAATTATGGTTACATTGCATCCTGTGCTTGTTGATGTTCAAAACCTTTAGTCTGGCTCCGGAGGGAAATATTTTTGATACGCTGCACAACTGATTTTTCTAAGACACAAAAAGCATATTTAAGGAAAACTTTAGGAGCGGTTAATGAAATAAAAATTCTAAATATTTAAAAACTGGTGGAAAATGGTGGAAAAAAAAGTGGTTACACCCCCTCTTTCCCTAGTTTTTAAATATTCAAAAATGTTTTTTCTCAGGAACCTGACTTTACAATGCCTACCGTATATTATATATATTATAATATTAAACGCGATCTTCCCCCCGAAGTTTGGGGTGCAGCCTATACACCAGTCATTAACCTACTCCTGAAAAAGTTCAAATCGCGAGCCGTGGCGAAAAATCAGGTGCTGTCTGTCTAGGTTAGGCCCATGCTAGCTCAATTAATTAGCCTAGCCTAGGACCGGTTTGTAACCCTAGTATTTGTAATTATACTCACTACAGTGCTGTACTAGGATTCCTACTAAATTTTCTACGACATTCAAGCAATAGTTTGGGTTGCCTAAATAATTATTTTCATAATTACGTTCACTTATAAACAATTTTGAAACACGGTGTTTCTGTTCGAAAGCGCTTCGCTCAAAACAATAACAAACTAATTTTCAGGAGTTTGGTCCTCGAGGTCACGTGAGCAGCTTCATTTTCGATGTCGCAACAACAAAACACACGTGGGCTGGTGAAACTTGCAGCTCGACGTCTGGTTCCGGGTGGCTTGTACCGTTATAGAGAGAATATTAATACCGCTATATTTTTAGAATAAAAACTTGTGAAATTAATTTATGCTATAAAAACACAAGTTTTCTTGAAGTTGTAATAATTATTTTACTGGAATTTAACTGCAGAAAGGCATACGTCATCTGGGCATGCGTGAACTTTGGATCCAATCCATTTTTTGTTTATAAAACGTGGTGCGTGATGGTGCATGCTTCGCACAGTGGGCTGTGAGTAGTAATGACTTTAGGCCTAGAATTACCAATATTTTTAGCCTAATACAGACTGTTATTAGTCAACATAATAATAGAATGATTGTTTAAAATAGATAAATATACTCAATAGGTGTTTTATTTTATTAAACTTATTAATAAACTGATGTTGAAAATTTAACGTAGCACGACCGTAAAGCAAAAAATGGGGATTTCCCTAGGGGCTGCCTAGAGCAAGAACACATTGTTAACATGGCGGTAGCCATCAGTTTACACGCATTTCCAGTTGTTTCTTGTTTAATAATCGGCTGCAAAAGATGAAATTTCTTTATGAGAACATTTATAAATAATGTCAATGTTTCAAAATAATTAAAAACTTAACATTATGGGAACGGTTTGGAGCTTAAAAATAGGTGCGGCTTATACACGTCGTCGCGTCCTAATTTGGGGGGGGGGCTTATACACAGGTGCGGCTTATACACCGGAATATACGGTACATACAAAACTCTAGATATTACAGTCACCACAAAAACACCCTAAGAGGCCAGCCAGTGAAAATAGTTTACATGGTTACAAAGAATTAGTACTGTATAAGGTTGATACAGCATTTTCTTATGGACTTATTAATAAGGTCCATGGTCTTATAATAATTTTATCAATATTTGTATGTAGCTTCAACAACTTCAAAAAATTTGTATTCACCAGCTAAAATACCTGGAAATAATGCCCATATGGCTCTGTATAATAAATTATATAAATAATTAATATACTTTCACAAAGTGGGCCAACTTGCATGAGAATTAATGTGCTTAAGACCTGCTATTTAATGAGATGTAAAGTGTAATGGGTAATGGTTCTATGATACTGTCGTATGACCATTAACTTCATCATTAACATAAATGCAATCATATTAAAAACATAGTATTATGTAAATCACATATCCTTTGCTCACTCCTATGAAAAACACATTTGAAAAAGAGACACTTTGATGATATCTGCATACATATACCATTATGACACATATTATTAGATGTAAATTACTAAATTAAGGTTTTGGGAGAGGCTGTAATACAGTAAAGCAGAATAATTTATAGTGCTTGGGATGAAACTTGAAAGGTACGTCTGAAAATGAAAATTTCTTCGATGCTCAACCCATAGACTTGTGTGATTTATCTGTGTATGAGGGACAAACAGGTCTAAAACACCAACATTCGAGGAGGTAGTCCCAATAATCAACCACAGAGGGAAGTAGAATTCACTACTTTACCTCAAACCATGTTTATGATCGTACAGTAGGCCTATGTTGGTATATTAATCAACACATAAATAATATTCTAAAAATCCCAAAATAAATATACAGTACAACTCAGTCCCAGATCCCCATCCCCAATGTTATTAAATGCTATGAAGTGATCCTTCATGAATCATACTTTATTATCATTGTTAATGGTAGCAGATAAATTAGAATTTTAAGCAAATTGACCAAAAGGAATTCTTTCATATCAGTATTAACTAATGTACAGTAGCTGATAGTAATTATTTGGTAGCATTGTGTACTGCTATACCTATGGAATGCAATGCCATTGGAGAGATGACATGTGCATTGCAAGATATATCATTATCTCATGCTGATGCATAATGTACTGTACATCATTTACAGTAAGTGGAAACTTAGGTTAAATCCATAACAAAGTAGCTGAAACAAAATTCCAATCAATCAATCATTCAATTATTACTATACTATTAGCATAATAAAGCACTTCAAACCAAGATACAAGTTTCACAAAACTATATAATATTTAAAAGCCCACCGCATATTTTATGTCCAATTTTATGAACCAGGGTTTCCCCAGGCAAAGCCCTGTTTAACATTTGAAGAAGCAGCACAGCTGAATTTACGTAAATACTTTCAGAAAAAATGTCCGAGTGGCTTTGAATTAAATATGCAGTGTTGAAAAAAATCACTTGTGATTGATTGGTCATCTCTACCACCCTATATTTTTTTTTTTAAAGAGAATGAGGGCACATTTGTTATTTTTTTTACTCTAGGTGTCAAATCCAAGATGGTCAATGGGAGACAGCTACTATTTTTTTCACTTTTACCAAGTAGACGACACATTGAAAGCAAATAAAAGCACTAGACATGATTCATACCATATATCCCCAACCACCAACGATCAAGAGAGGAATTTATACTGATGTGAGTTAGCCAGATTTTTGTACATTTTGTAAAATAAAGGAAATATCAAAAAAAAAGAAAGAAAAATACAATTGGTCGGGCAGAGAAAATGGATGCGCGAGGAGACAAGGAACTAGTAATTTTTTATTTGGTTTTTATAGGACATGCTGTCAATTTAAAAAAAGATTGTCTTTGTGAAAAGGTGATTCCCCCAGATATAAGCCCACCTACAAACTGGCAAACTTTTTTGGTCGATATGAGTGGGTTTTTATCTGATGAACTATGGTAGAAAAGGCAATGAGATGGGTCAAGCATTAAAGATCATTCTTCAAATGTGATCACTCATTGCAACATGAAACTTTGGTATCAGTACAGCCATCCCAATTACACATTCTGCAATCTTTTTTACAGGGTTACTCAAGATTTTGTCTGTCATCAAATTAACACGCTGAACGCAATTTGCCAATCAAGGTGCGAGTTATCGCTTACATTTTTTCGTCATTCAAGAATCAAGAATAACCTATTGCTGATATAGCATATAACATAATACAGCCAAAATCTATATGGGTTATATTTGTGAGAAAAACTTTTGAACCCAGAATGCTAGAATTGGAAGGCAGAAATTTTAACCACCAACAATTTTTTATATTTTTTTTTTAGTAAATAGTTAGTAGTATTGTTTGTATTATCTCAGTCATGTTTTACTTAGAATATCAATGCACCAGCAAACAACCCAAGGGTGATACTGGTCTTTAGCAAAAACAATGAAAATAAAAGCCTCCCTCCCTCATCACTTTTCCAGCCTAGGTAGGGTGATAAACTAATAATTTTTTATAGGGCCTAATTAACATAGTCCTAAATGTATTTTCTTGTTTAGATTTTTAATCAAAAGCTACTACAAGCTTAAATACATAAAAGTAATTCAAATATTGAATTTAGTTTTGTTTATCAGCTCATGACAATATGGTATGATCTATCTTCAACCATTTGAAAAATTATAAAATTAATAAATCTTAGAAAAAAAATGATCAGAGTAATAAATAATGTTGACATGTATTATTCATGCATGAATAAATTCAATATACATAACGATACATCTGAGTAAAGTAAAAACATTATATAAATTAAAAATTGCACAAAATAAAAAGGGTATCTGAATATATTTTACTTTTAGAAAGTATGAGTGAATTTCACGAGGACAATCAACACCTCTGATATACGTAAAACCCTCTAAGCAACATCCATGGCCATTTTTTTTAATGGTAATGGCAATAAATTAAATTACACTATACATTCAGATGATTATGATACTGTATAGTGATGATTCCATGTTTTAAACAATGTACATAATAATGTATTCATACATTATACTGTAGTTATGGCAAAAAAATGTTTTCATCAAAGTTTATGACCTATTTTCTTAATGGTATTCACACTTTCTAAATTGTAACATAATTATATTATTGCAATTGATGTTGCTTTAACTATTGTTGATTATTTTTATCATTATCATTAGTATTGATGTTGTACTGTTATTATCTGAACTTCTTTGTCAATAATATAATAAGTTGTGAAATTATTGTAATCATTACATTTTTTTACTTACTATGGACTGGTGAATCCATTGAAAGAGTACTTGGTCTTAAAATTATTTTTGATTATTACCATCATTATCATTCATGATGTTGTACTGTTATTATCTGAACGAACTTTTGTCAATATAGTAATAATTTGTGAAATTATTTTGTAATCATTATATATATTGCAATGCGGCCTCTTAATTTAATTTCATTACTTTATTTTATTTTCATTGTTTTTTTTCTCAAGGCCCCCATTGGAAATAAGTCGTTCTTTACAACATTGCATTTTATTGACTTTAATTTTAATCTTTCTCCCTATTTTAAAGTTTTAACTTTTAAGAAAATCATTGTTATACAGGTATTTGCTATTTACTGTTATAATGTTGCAGTATACTGAATAAAGTCATGTCAATTCAAGTACCTTAATAAGTTAAATCTTAAGGAAGCTAAATTAATTACTCTCTTACAAATTAACCTAAATTCAAAATGAAGAAAGCTTTTCAGTAGTTGAAAGTATATTCAGTGTGCATGGATTAATCTAGAAATCTTGTCATGTCACTCTGACCGCATCTTATTATCGTAATTACCCGGAAATTACCCTTGCTGTTTTGCAATTTCTTTAATGTTTTATTTCATGACCATTTTCAGTAAAAGTATATCCATAGATTTCTTCATCAGGAAATCACTAGATTTGTTTTTAGGGATGGGACATTAATTTCCACTAGGCACTACATAGCAACAGTACAAATGTAAATATGAATTAAAGTTATGGGGTCTAGGCTGAACTGAATATATGTGGTATTTTAATGAGTAGACAGTACTTGGTCCAATATTTGTAGTACCATTTATTATATAGCTGTTAATAAAATGTATTTATTTAAACTATACTGTTCTCCATGGGACATTACATAGGTCGTGTATATATTACACACTTGCTAGAAACACGGATCTGCCGTTACGTAACGTATTTCATTGCCCGTGGCCGATCCGTGTTAGGTTTACGTTCATACATGTAATCTGAACACGGATTAGACAGGAAGTGAAGTAGCTCGCGAAAAGCCTTGTGGGACGGAAGGTCGAAGTCAGCATGACATTTGTTTACAAAGTTTAATAATTTCGTCCGAACCAAGCCAAGTAACAAGAAGAAATGAGTTGGTACAGGGCAAAACATTGTATTGGATAGAAAAAAAATCCATGGGAGGTAAATAAACTATAGTTAGTACCCCGCGTCTCACGATAAATAGGCGGCTATTAATGGGGCAGATCAGAAGATTGTTGGCGCTAAAAAGATGCATTATTGTTTGTTCTAAGGATTAATTAAAAGATTATTGTTTATAAAACAAAAGCACTGAAGCGTCCCTGTTGGTGAGAATCACATGAAGAAGTGAAGGTAGGCTTAGTATAGGGTATACTGTAGGTAGACTGGCAGCACTCCGGCGCGTATTTCGGCGGATAAGAAAGCCTCGGAAAAGACTCTTTTCGTGAAAGGTATATATTATGCCTTCTCAGCAGTAAATTAAGATATAAAATTATTGCTTAATAACGGCCTTATTAACAATAATTATTTTCTTATATCATTCT